ACCTGCAGAGGATGAGAATCACATTTGCCGCACCAAATGGGCTTTGCCAGCATCTCCTTAATATGGGATCAAAGACCAGGCAGCATCTGTGCAGCCAGTTTGTGCCTCATATTGCTTCCCTTTGGCTCAGCTAAACCGGTGCTGTGCCAGCGATGTCAGGGCTACCCCTGACTATTACTGAAGGCAAAAAGCTATCGCTGCCTCCACTGCCTGTGACCTGCTGATAGAAAGAGTTACTGGATAATCCATCCGCATGTGAATATACCCATTATAACCTGTCCTTGCTCTCTTCTGTGCAGCGTATCGGGCCATAGCAGATGACACCCTGCGGACTGCTGCGCCTCATGCTTTTCCTCCCCTGCACACCTCCGACACTCCCCACTCATTGCTTGCAATGCTGCTTGGGGCTGTGCCATTAGTCCTGCTGTCTTTTAGTCCTAGATGCCTCAGGGGAAGAGAGGGGCCAGAGTTGAGCTTAGGTGTGAATTTTGCCATGATAGGGCAGAATCGTGCTGCCTACATACATCTGCAGCTGAGTGATACGCAAACCGAGGTCTCATGATTTCACACAACCATACAAGTTCCCCAGGTGTCTGAATTTCCGCATTTGTTTTTTTTTCTTGCAACACTTTTGCTCTTAAGTAGAATTTGTCACTATGTAAAAGAATATGTAGGTGTATTCTTAATTCAGCAATGCAGAAAATTTCTTTCTGGCTATTACTTACTGAATACATGATATCTGTACAGATGTTTTGAATTATTGGACATAAACCTTGAAATTAATTAGCAGTGTTTACTCGGTCCTCTCACCCTCCTGAGGACATGTGCCTGTCTGCAAGCAGGTGTTCATGGCTACGTGCTAACCCCTAATCGGTGCAGGTCCGGCACTTCTTCAGCTTTTCCTCTTCCCAAATCCTTTGGCGTTTTCACCCCTAAATGAGTAGAAATATGAAGAGATTTGAATTGTGATGTATAGAATTTTACAGTGTTTTGTATCATTCTCAGGCATTTCTGATCGTTCCCTGACGCAAAAGACATTGTGTCCCGACTCCAAGACTTACCTTGGAGAGCATTATAATACACACTCTCTCTTCGGCTGGTCACAGACAGCACCAACTTTCCAGTAGGTTTTCTAATTATTTCTAAGCAGATTTCAGGTGATTGAAATACATTTTAAAAGCCGCTGATGTTACCTGGGAAATCGGTAATAGTATCTAATAAGAAACAGCCCCATGCTTCATTTTACTGTTTGTCATTTAGTAAGAAGTTTCAGGAAAAGAGAATCTTGGAAAAAGAAACAAAATCTTTTCCAATTTTACTTTTCTCAGCTAAAATCAGGATCTACTTGTAAGGCCTAACTTTTCAGCTGCTGCTTTTGTATAACTAGAGCAAGATGTTCCTATCCTCCATTAAAGCTACTCACATGCAGCTGCTGCAGAAGCAGCCTTGTGTGGTGTCAGGGGAATTTTTCCATCCCTTCATTACCGTGGCCCAAGCAGAGGAGTTTCTGTCACTGCCAGTGAAGGATCTGAACTGTGCAGCTCCCCTGGCTGCTTCTGGAGCTGCCTCTGTTTCCTGGCAGGCAGCGTTTTGCATTTTGGCTTGGGGCTCAGTCGGTCCAGGAGGGCAGAGCTGCATTGCAGCACAGTTGCTGTCAGCTACTGTAAAACTCATTTTGCAGCTGGGAAACACTCAAAACTAGCTTACGCAGGCAGACTGTTGCTGTGAAGCTGGAGTGACAGTGGAAATCTAGCTGTTGGATTAAATCAAATGGGCAAATCATGCCTTTTCCAGCAGAGACTGAGCTAAAACACGGATAAGCTTAATACTGCAATGTAAGTGCCAAAGCAGGGGTCCTTGTGCTGGCTTATTTCAGTATTTAGCACTCATTTTTAGAGTTGTATTGTGATAGCATCCAGAGGACATGGCTAAGTGAGCCTACTTACGGTGTTGATGCACTTGTATTTTATACGCCAAACCTGGGGGAAGGGAAGCACTGGGTAAAAGCCAGAAGCAGTTTGCCAGCTTTTGCGGGCCTGGCTGAAGAGCAGTCCAGCTTTCGAGAGAAGGAGCAGAAAGCCCTCAAACCCTGGACCTTGCTGGCCACCCAGCCCAGCTAGGATGCATGGGACTCAGCATGGTTTTTGGGCCCCTACGCCCCAATCTCAGCAAAGATCCTCCCATCACTGGTGTCTCCACTGGGATTTGTCCTCTGCACACTGGGGTTATACACTGTCTTGGTAACACTGTTCGAATAGAGACTTTGGATTTGCCTATCTTCTTGAGCTGTTTTTTTAGTTTTATTCAGGCTCTGTGCCAGCAAAGCCAACTGCCTGAGACAAACCCTGTGCATTTAGCAGGAAAAGCTCCGTGTGCCGGCACATCTGCCCCAGCCCCTTCAGCGTGTGCACTGTCCCGGCTGCGCTAACCCGGACCAACGCTGTTAGGATGGTTACTGCTGCACCTTGCAGCCTCCCCCAAGGCTGTGAACCTTCCCCATTCCTGCAGCGCTTGCTTCCAGGGCTCCTTCCAAAAGAAACACGTATTTTGCTCAGCCAAATGTAGAGAGTCCTTCAAGGCTGGAGAACACCACCAAAAGCATAAGCAGAGGCCAGATTTGCTGCAAAGCTGGGAAACTTTGGTGAAGAATTTTTCATATTATTCATTTGGGTTTCTCAAACACATTTCTTTTCAAGGCTGGTTGTATACCCTTTCCGCATTTGCTCTTCACAAATAATATACTAAATTAAATTACTGACGGGAATATTTAGCAAACTAGCATCAATTGCAGGATATTTGCTGAAAACCAATGACAAGTTCATAATCGTATAAAAAACAATTCTAAGAATAATTCTAATGCAGCCAGAGAATAGGAAATGTGTCATCTGACCCATGTCAAATGGCTTGCATTTGGATACATGAACTAGCAGCAATCAGCTTGTGCATAGCTTAACGCCAGGAGTTATTTGCACATGATATTCTGTAAATAATTTCAATCAACAAATACATTTGACAACATTAAGACCTGTTTGGCAATGGTTCACAAGAGACTGAAATTTATTCAATAAATTACTTGTTGCAGATTGTTTATGCTGCTCTGGGTCATAGTTGAGTTGAGTTGATTTGATGTTGCCCTCATTAGCACCTGCATTTGCAAATGGAGCCAAAGACTTGTGCTGCACGGCCAGAGGAGAGGACTCATACTCAGGACATCCATGAAATGGCTCGAAATTGCCATTTATACAGGGCACATGGAGTCTTGTGCAGTTATTGGGCCCAGCAGTGCACCTACAACCCAGAACCAGCAAGTCCCACATGGTTCAAGAATTGCACCTCTTTCTTGCTGCATATGGCCCATAACGTTAATATGTTTAGGTTTGCATGAAAGCTGTTGGTTTTTTTTCCTTCAGAAACAAATGTTGAAGCATTTTAAAGGCTCTGTGCCATTACAGAACCAATACTGAATATTGGCCATTATGAATACCGATGAAAGAGCTCTTGATCAAATTTCATTAAGGAAAGGGAGAAGGAGGTGGATGGTGAACTACACGATTAATATTTCACGCTAGGATTTCCTAGAGAATCCAAGTTGTGTTGCCCAAATCATATTAAAGCAGAGTTGAATTTGAGTTCCTGCAATATATAATACTGCAATATGTAATTACGTACAGAGATTATCCTATGTTGAGGAATTTTGTAACAGATTTGTTAATAAGGCATATTGCACTTCCTTGATTTTCTGGTGATGCAGCAAAATTATTTTCAAAAGGCAAGGAAAAGTTCATTACACCACTAGTTCTGTAATGAAACCTCATATATCAAACAATGACAGGAAACCAGAGGAAATACTACAAGGATGGGGTGACATTTTGAATTATTACATTTTTGCTTTCTATATTGATTATTTCTTTTTTTAAGATGTTCAGATATTGTTTTGATATTTTTTTTTTTTTACTTTTAATTCCAGGATATCAGAACTTTATTTGCCAATACAAATCTCTAAATAAAACCTATATTGAAAAAAATACATATTATACTGTTTTTTAGGAACCTGTAGGACACCAAATTAAATGTGCAAATACAGAAAGGAAATAATGTTTCAATTTTTCAGTTTGAGACACTGTTGAGAATAAATTAAACACAAATTATTTTTTAGGAAGACTAACAATACCTAAAACAAATGGTTTTGTGGATCAGATAGATTTTAGTTTTTTTTATTTTGGCCACTGAGTAAAACTTCCAGTTTTTTGCAGTTTGCAAAATTGTGCCTGAAAGCTCAGGTTGATGATATGACTCTTTCGGTTACCATTCTTATTTTTAATGATCTTGTTGCATTTCTTCACAGTGTTGCCCAGCAGGCAACTGGAAAGCGAGCGTTTGTCTTGAGTCGGTCTACATTCGTTGGCAGTGGGAAGCATGGGGGTCACTGGCTGGGTGACAACTTCTCTCGGTGGAAGGACATGCACCAGTCAATCATTGGAATCCTGGAATTCAACCTCTTTGGCATCCCCTACGTAAGTCCGGTGTCCTTCAGGCAGTTGCTGGCTCATACACAACATCACTTTAAACTTACTCAAATGTTTTCTGAAATAAGCTGCTTGAGACAGCCAGCAGTAATGGCCTCCACAGCATAAGGAACTGCAGATTAAAAAAAGCTAAATGTCATCAATCTTGGCTGGCTGAAGAGAAACAAAAATAGCACTGCTAGGTTCAGATTAAATCACTGCATGCCATCCAATACCCATCTCTTTATGTTATGTATTCTATCATTGAGGTCCCTCCATATATTTCTGGTTTTGCAAGCTGGGCTGGAGAATTTGTAGAATTACTGAAATACGGTCAGATCTTCCATAGCGATGCTAATGCTCTAGGAGCCAGTACAATCTCTGTCCCGGAAAAATTCATATCATTACGGAGCATTCTGCATACCTGCAGAAATAGGTATCTCTTCCCAAAAATTCTTTTTATTAACAAACTTCTGCAGTTTCTCATTTTTGGGCCTCAGTCACAATCACAAACACTTATCCAATGATTTTATTTTTTTCTTTAGATAGGTGCTGATATCTGTGGGTTTAACTATAACACTACCTATGAACTCTGCTTGCGCTGGATGCAGCTTGGCTCTTTCTATCCATTTTCCAGAAACCACAATGCAGAGGGAAATAGCGTAAGTAAATGAAGTTACACAAAGCTGTAGTCTATGATTACAGTAACGACAACGGTGGCTTGTATTACTTTCTCAGAAATTAACCTGCCATTCTCAGGTAAACTGAAGCGGCAGGTGAAAAGGAGTGCTGCACTGAGAGCAGGAATTACACGGTGAAGTGTAGATTTTTCCCATCCATAGTGTAAAGATGACATAGAAACACTGAAAAATATATAGTATCTAACATCCGAAAGCCATGCAGAAATGTGTACTGCATACTTCGAACGACAGAAAATGGTCTTCCCACACTGTTGGTAAGATTCATCCCCTCAATCTTTTACCTACTGAAGTCCAGGTTTTATTTAAGAGCCAGTGAGTGTCACCACACGTTCCTACTCCTTTGTTTACTTCAATTTTTGTTTCAGTACTTCTGTAACTATAATAGGTATTGCAGGAAGGGGAGAGAGGGCATTATACACCATCCTTGCTGTTTAAAAGCAAGTTTCAGACAAACGCCACAGTTAGAACCTCCAGACAAACATGTGAGAACTCCAAGGAGAGCCAGTGATAGCGACAGCATTATCAGCCAAGAAGCAACAAAGACTAAAAAAGGCCAATGAGCCCATGAGAAGGATGAAAAAGTGCAGTCTCAGTCCAGACCCATGCCCTGGTTCAACTTATCATAAAGTCCTTTCGAGACTTGTCACAGATAGAATGAAGTATCAGGTTGTTTCTAACTATGAACAGTTTGAAGGTCTTGCAGCCTTTGTTAAGTACACTGTGTTTATCTGCAACTGCAATGAAATGGTTCTGCTAGTTCAATAAATGTCTTTTTTTTTTTTTTTTCTCTTCTGTAAACTGATCTGTGCAATGCTGGAGCTCAGGTTATTAGCTAACCTTCAGTTTTCTTTGAAGTTGCATCATCAAAATGTTGCAACATTTACCCCCCCAGAAAGACCTCTGTCTCTGCATGAAAGTATGATGGACATTCAGCAACTGGGCAAATGCAGGAATAATAAGCTATAGTGCTGTCATTAAGAGGGTCAGGAATTGCCCTGTAGATCCCTGAGATATGCTGAGATATTTCTCTCTAGGAGAACAAATGTCTGTGAGGTGTTAGCTGCTGCTTTTGGTAAGTATTTTCTATTTACCTATCCACTAAAATTAGAGGTACCTTATTTATATACGTTTGCTTGGCCCTTTGAGCATGCAAACGGGGTCTGACCTGGGTGAGTGAGTATTAATCACATAGGCACAATTTAATAAGCAGGAAAAGAGCAACGGGTCTACAGGAGTTACAACTCAGTGTTGAGTGAATGACAGAAGTAACAGAAGATATATTTTGTTTTATTGGATTACTTAAATCCATTTAAAACATTGTGTTCACTGAGAGGAATGAACAAGGCATTTTGGGTGACTCAGCATCACATAAGAAGTCTGACTGTTTTTTTGCAAACTTAGGCAATATTTGTATGGTGTCAGAATACTGGTAAAAAATATAGTGCAATTTTTGAAAAAATAGATGGATGCTCTGGAGCTCAGAGCCAGCAGGGAATATTATCAGTGACTAATTCTGATGTAAACATAATAATGGAGAAATTTAACTTAAATATTGAGTTTCGTTAATATTAAGTGTGTTAAAATAAAATCTTAAATATCCACTTTGCCTAACCCATTGGGGATTTCAAATGGTTTAATTAATACTTTTCTTGTCTGAAAAGCAGTAGATAATATAAAAAGCTTTGTTACTTCTGTTCCTTTTATGTTTCATTATCCTTGGAATTCATCATACATTCTTCAATTTTAATGAGAAAACTGAGTATTATGGGAAAATTTTGTGAAGGAGGAAGGGAGCCATGTGACTCGTTAGCTGGCTCAGTTTAGCGCTGGAGAAGGTCAGACAGGAGGAATTAAAGGAAA